CCCAAGACCCATCAGAAATGGGGGGGACTCCAAAAAGCAAATTTGTCCCCCAAGACTCATTGGAAATGGGGGGGAAACAAACCAACCCCCCAAGACCCATCACAGCACAGAACAGAAACATAACCCCTGAGTCCAAAACCACGCTGCAAATCCTACCCAGAACAGGTTTTAAAAAGTAGAAAACAGCACCTTACATTACCAGGGAGTCCAAAGCCTCCTCCAATCGCACACTCTCTAACTGCTGGGGCGAAAGAGCTACAAAGAAGCAGCCTTCTCACCACCAACAGTTAGCAATTTGAATGTCCTGCCTTTTTCCCCTGCCTTTTTGTGTTTGTAACTGGAAGCTCTGGCCGCAAGTCGAAGCAAAATTTTGCAGCTGGAGCTGGTTGTAACTCGAAATGGTTGCAAGTCGGGATGTTCGTAAGCTGAGGTACCACTATACTCTGCTGCTTGATAAAATCACAGTGAAGGAGATTTGAAATAGAAATTAAGCTTATGCTATCAGTCTGACCCCCCTGCCTCTAAATAAAATGTTCAGCATACAGTGGGGTCTTGACTTGAGAACTTAATCCGTATTGGAAGGCGGTTCTCAAGTCAAAAAGTTCTCAGGTCAAATCTGCATTTCCCATAGGAATGCATTGAAAACCATTTGATCCGTATCTGCTCTTTTCCGTCCATAGAAACTAATGGGAAACTGCCATTCTGCCTTCAACCACTAGAGGGGGATATTTTATTTCTTTTTTTCTTAGGTGAAGAAAGGTTCAGGGAAGGCAGGGAAAATACAGTCCAGGCAGTACAGTACCAGGCAGTCTGAAGACTGTCTCCCAATCCACTCTCTAAACGCTGGGAGGAGTGAGGAAGCAGACAGGCACTCTTTTCACTGGCCAACAGTTAACTGAAAGTTCAAATTTTGCACTTTCCCTGCCTCCCACGTGGTTTTTTTTTCAGTTCTTAACTCAAATCTAAGTATGTAAGTCAAGTCAATATTTTCCTATAAGAGTGGTTCTTAAGTCGAAATGTTCTTAACTCAAGCCGTTCTTAAGTCAAGACCCCACTGTACTAATTACCCTTTTGTTTGCCACATATGAATATATGTAATATGTACTACAAGCAAACAACAGGTATATCACAAAAGGTGAGTTGCAGGGGCAGTTGTTCTGCCATGCTATTGCTGCAGGGCACCAATTCAGCAATTTTAAGCCTGACAGAGGCCAGATCCAACTGACTATTTACACTAGCGTAAGTCCAACAATGTCAGTTTCAGCGACACTGGTGTGTTACCTAGGACTACTGATGTGTCATAATTTTATTTTGAAGAATAAAATGCTCCCATGAGCCCAACATTTCCACCGTAGAGTAACCTTCTTGTTATGTCTTTGTGTAGTTTGCTGCTTCTTTTCAATCTGCTGCTCCTGATTGCCAACACATTTGTTCATCTGCATGAGATTATTTTGGATTTTACCCATACAGTGTGATTTTTTTTTTAAATCAAAATATTGATCATCTGCTAACAAGCGACAGGGTGATTTGAACCTGAATGGTTCTTGGTCTTAATTCATTTAAAGCAAAGTAAATAATGTGACTCCAATTTTAAGGAAAAGTATGCCCATTCTGTCAGAAGTTTGGGTAATGTCACGCCAGGCAAAAAAGAAAAGAAAAGAGTGTCTTAATTAGATTCTCATATAGCATTACCATGCAGATCTTGGCTATACATTAAGACCAGGTATAGAAATATTTCTGAGTGCCACAGAAGTGTGGCTCAGACATTTATTTATTGAAAAGTATGTATACCCTTGGAAATTGGTGGACACAACACAGAAGATACATAGATTAAAGTTTGATAGTTAAAATAGGTATACCCAGTGTGTTGTAGTTGATAGAGCGATGGACTATGACTCAGGAGGCCTGGGTCTGAATTCCCATTCAGCCATGGAAGCTTACTGGAGATGTGGAACTGGTAAAATCACTCCCGAAATACCTCACTTATCTTGGAAACCTATTTGGGTCACTTTAGCATTGGAAGTATAAGCAAAGCACAGGAATCCAGGTTAGAGGTAATGCATATCAAGGATAGTCAAGAAAGATAGTCAAGAAAGCCGCCTAGAGTGGTCTTATAGACCAGATAGGTGGGGTACAAATCCAATAAATAAATAAATAAATAAATAAATGAAAATGGGTATTTTAAAAGGCCTATTTGAAAGCATGGAAAGAGTCAAGTGTAATTTACTTGGAGCAGAGTTCTACAGTCCTAGATCCACCACAGAGAAATTGTGTCATCTGTGTCTTCAATTTTTCTATTGGGCACATGCACTGGACCTCCAAATAGATCTCATTTATAGACACGCTCATATGGGTTAACATGTTTTTTCAGATTACCTCTAAAAATTAATACTAATGCTTCAGATTGAAACTAGAAACATACTAGTAACTAGGGTAGATTTGATTTAAATTATGATTTAAATTTTAATTTATTTAATTTTATTATTTAAATCAATTTGGTTTTTAAAAAAAACACTGGCTTTTCTCCACCTTGCTAGAAACCCATGCCACTGGAACAAAGTCAGGTTATTCCATTTATCAGTTGATGGAGAATACTCTGTTGCACTCACTTCCTGTGGGGCAAGTGGCTGGTCACTTTGAAAACAGAATGCTGAAGTAGATGAACCTTTGTTCTTCTTCGTGGTCTCTGTGAATGCATACTAATGGGTTAATCTGTGCCTGCACAGAGCAGCCTTGGAACTTTCTAACTCAAGCACATGGTGCCGGGAACTCCCACACGCTGGCTACAACTCCTCCCCCCCGGCACTGAGTGCCTCAGTTCGTTTCTTGCCGCTGCTGCAGCAGCTTCGACGAACTTTAGCGTTTGTTAAAAATCAGTTTGGGCAAAACCATCATCTGCCCACCAAATTCAAAGGAGAGTTGAAAATCTTTATAAAACCTGTGGAGAAAACACATTTTTCTTCTAAAGCACCCTCTTCCAAATTCAATCATGGTGGATGCGACTCAGAATCGAGTGAGAAATCGCTCAGCTACACACACACCCCAATAATAAAGAAGGGAGGAAGCTGGACATTATTGGTCGCCAGATGTATTCTCCTGCCTCTTTTGTGTTACGAGTACCAAACTACTCAGCAGCAATGGGTGCTTACCACAGGCACCTTGGGAATTTGGCTTTACCCATCCTGCAACAAGCCTCAGAGGACATTCAGACTCAAGGGTTGGTGTACCATCAGGAGGCTATGGGCTCAGCCTGTCAGGAATGGATTGCGGCCAGACACATTTTGGATGCATCCTCTAAACAAGTAGTCACCACTGTGACTTGCGCTGCCATGCCTGGCTATGCTCTGCAGCTATCTCAGACAACACTCGGGCTAGGGTTGGGGACCTTCCCTTCGATGGAGTGGGATTATTTGATGAAAAGACAGACGAGATCTTGGATAATCTTCTGAAGATGAGAAAAACTGCAAGAACATATTCCTCTCAACAATATCAACCTTGTGGGTCCTGGCGCCGTCAATACACCTCAAGGTCTTTCCCTGACTGCCTTAGGTCTGCAGTTTCTACTCCATCCCCATTCTCTTTTCGGCAGCCCAACAGACAGCGTCCCTGTCAACAGGCCCACCACCCGGACCGTAAATCAAGGCAGAATGTTTGACAGCCTCCACCTACCAGTGACCCTAGACACTTCTGTTCGTCTTTCACCTTTCCTGCATGTCTGGTGCACCATCATCTCAGACTCAAGGGTCCTCTCCATCATAGCCTTCGGCTATGCCATCGAGTTCGACTCCCTGTTACTGGGTCCTTCAAATCCACCCTCCCCTCTCCTCCTTTGGAAGAAAAGATGTGATCTTTGCTCGAGAAGGATGTGATTGTCCATCTCGTTCATCCAGACATGACACGCGGGTTTTACTCCCGCTATTTCACTATTCCAAAGAAGGATGGGGGTCTTTGCCCCATCTTGGGCCTTCACCACTTGAACTCATAGATCACCCCCCCCCCAGCGTTTTCGTATGATCTCATTGGACTCAACTATTCAGAGCTTCAGCATCTTGGGCCTTCACCACTTGAACTCATACATCACCCCCCCAGCATTTTCGTATGATCTCATTGGACTCAACTATTCAGATGCTTCAGCAAGATGACTCGATTACAGTCATCAACCTAAAAGATGCCTATTTTCCGACCATCGCCAGTTCCTGAGGTTCTCTGTGAGTGGGGTGACCCATGAGTTCAAGGCTCTTCCATTTGGGTGGTCCACAGCTCCCTGGGTGTTCTCTACTGA